AAAAAAAAAAAAAAAAAAAAAAAAAAAAAAAAAAAAAAAAAAAAAAAGCTGCGCTTGGGGGATCTACTAGGGAGAGAGATGTCTAGATTTTGCTTACAGACCTGCAAACTCCATGGACCTGCAAAGCCTAAAATCCTGTGAGTGAAGGCCAGATCAGGGCTATAATGGTCTGCCAAAGAGGGGGTGTTGTGATGGCTGGATATGGGCACCAGTGACTCTCGCAACCCAAAAAAGGAAGAATCGGGTAAAGATAATGGATGGATGGATGGGGTGAGCACCTCTGGATGTGGATCAGTCTGGTTGTGCGACTGTTTGGGTAAGCTGCACTGCTTACTAAAACTGAAACAATCAATTTCCTGGTCTCAGCCTTTGTTATACTAACAGGCAATTTCCAACTGCCTTTGAGGCTCCTCAACTGTTCCCATGACTTTCATTCAAACTTTATTTACACAGATAAATCACACTGAACCTCAAAGACTAATTTATGACACCTGTTTAGACAGCCAAAAAGTAATGAAAGTGACAGCATATAGGATTTTGAGGCAACAAAAAAAATCCTATCAAACCCTTGTTCCTTGGCCGAGGAGAGGGAGCCTGAGATTGAAAAAAAACACCCCGCACATAGGCACATAGTGATACAGACATTCTGCAGGGGAGGGAATACGACAAGAGCGGTGAGCATATCAAGGACACTCCAGAGGCACTGTAGGAGTTCTGATAAGAATTGTATAATCAGTCAGTTCCCTCTGGTGAGACCCATAAACACTCTCGAGGGGTGCCGAGGTCGACCTAGGACAGCTCCAGAAAGAATCCAAGAGTCCTGAAATGATGATACAATGTTTATTCAGCCGGGTCCTTTTGATAGGTCTGCAGACTTCCTCGGTCTTCCAAGGCTAGCTGGGGAGCCAAATTCAGATAAACTTTTGTTTTGGGAACTTTACTGATTCATGTCTGCCTTGAGTCTTTGCTAGTCCTCACAAATCCCAAACGTCCATATTAAGTGAACACACCGCTGGTCTGTGCCTGAGAGTGTTCCCCAAGATCTGATCCATCCTGCCAGTGAATCCTAGTTTGCAAAGCATTTGAGTCTGGGTGCTCGAGGCACAGAACAAACCATCACATAAGGCAGGTAGCCTGAGCAGGGCCAAATTTGCTGCCGACAACTTCCGTGCTTGTTAATAAACCAGGAACCAGCCAATTCCAAAAAGCAGGAAACCTATTATTATAAATCCAATTATATATGCGTCTTCCACGTCCTCAATGGACAGCAAAGCTAGACACACCACCTTCCAATCACCCCTGGAATCAATGACATATCCAGCTGTGTGCGTGTCATCAGGGCAAGTCAGCTCGCCTGAAGCTTGTTTTATCGTTGAGAAAATGTTACCAATTGAATTGAGAGACCAGCTGACCAGATCCATAGCAAAAATTAAGATTTGGAAAACATGTAGAGAGAGTATCCTGATGCATGATCATGTGAGCAGCTGGTTTTGGTTGTAACCAGCAAACTGGTTGATCCACTCTGAGAAGGTGCTATTTATAAGACTGAGCTGAATACAGCACCTCAGACTGAAGTCTTTCGGGTGAAAGACGAAACGTTTCTACATTTTTTTGTTGTTGTCGTTTTGCTTTGTTTTGTTTTTTGAATGTCCAGAGGACCAGGTTTAACTTTTTTAGATGTAGAGAGAGGCTCTGAAGCAGTTTCATAGACAGGACAGAGCAAAAGCAAAGTGAAGAAGGGAGAGGAGGGGAAAAGTGTCCGCCATGGGCAAGAGCAATTGGTGAAGTGTTGAACTTTAGTCACATAAGTGATAGTGTTAGTTTGCAACATTCTATTGTTCAAATTTGATTAGTCAAGCTTAAATGTAGGTAGATGACGCAGTAAAATGAGAGCTACTACGTTTTCATAAATGAAAATTAGTTGCAGAAAGAGCTGGTGGTTAACTTTGATTTGGGGAGTGAAAGTTAGATTTTTTTTTTAATGCTTCAACATGGAATTCAGTGTCATATACATTTGCGTTTTCTGTCCTTATTTTCAGTTTCTTCATTACTTCTGCATGTCATAAGTCATCATTTAGGTGATAGATCCCAAAGCATCAATCTTCAGTGAAAAACACAAACTAATAAATATGGATTAATTATGTAGGTGCTACTTAGGTCAAGCAGATGTGCACACAGCACATTACTGACCAGAAGATGGGGACAAACATGTTTGTTATGATGTAAAACCATTATAATGTTACTTTCACTCTATATTATAACTCAGCTTTATTTCTAAAGTTTGTGTTGCATGTGTTTAGACTCTAGTGAGAATGATAGTACCTGGACGGGGAGGCAAGTGGAGCGGTTGAGCTATTTTCAGTCGACTTTTTAGATCCTCCCATCTCCGTTGGTCCACAGTCAACAGGGCAGTACCCTGGTACACAAAGTGACAAAACATTTCAATCATGAAGACGGTGTTTCTGCAGCATCCACTGCAAGTTAACAACACCATGTTCTACCATTATCTGTGTCTTTCAATGATTTCCTTGATAAAAACAGCATTCTCAGTTCTAGATTTGGGTCAGATGTGACAGATGGTTGTTTTATACTCAAGGCTCTTACTTTGTTCTCATTGAAGTTTGCAATGACTACTCCGACAAATAGAGTGAGTCCGATCATGCATCCCAGAAACACAAACACATGGATATAGATGCCGTGAATCTGCAAAAAATAGAAATGTTTTAATAGAATAACTGTATTTTCACCTAAATATGAGCTATGGTAAAAGCCAAAATGATTCTGGTTGAAGATGTTAGAAGGTAAGGTCTATACCGGTCCAACGCGGTGAATAATGACATCTCGGACTTCTACCCAGCCTTTGAGCGACAAAACTTCAAACAGAGCCAACATGGCATTTCCGACATTGTCAAAGTTAAAATTTCGGGGATTGGCCCTAGAAAAAGAGAAGTTGGAGATTTCATAACTGACTTTGCAAAACAAGCCTAAAACAAGCATTGATTTAAAATAACTTAACACTAAAGTCTTACCAAACTCGTGGTACCCAGAAACCAGGTTTCTTCTCCTCAGGTTTTAGCCTCAAGTTCAGGTTTCTGGAAACGCTAACGTTTATTCGAAAAATACCATGGCAATCATCCTGTAACCAAACACACAAAGAAAAAGTCAAACATGGATTAGAATACCATCAGACCAAGTACAACAAAAATAAATAAATGATTGTGAACATATTTTACTTTAAAATAAAATAAATTACTTTTGACAAATGTATAAAAACATTATGTAAATAAAAAATGCTATCAGACATGCTGGATTTAAATGTCCATTTTTTCTATTTATTTAGCCAGTAATTCCTGCAGGATGCTTAGGACCAGAGAGAAGGGAAGGGGTTATAATACGAAGTTTTTTGGAGTACCCGTCTGAGAATACGAGGGTCGTTGCATTTGGCCAGCTTTCCAGCAAATAGTTGAACTCCAAAGCTTGCAAACACCAGCATCAATGTGAGGAGCAAAATGGAAACCTGAAAAATAATCAATCAAAAATTCATAACAGATTCAACATAATATAAGTCGACACAGGAAACAATTTAACAACACTTCTAAACTCCAAAGGTACCTCAAAGCTAAAATTGAAAATTGCTGTATTTGTACTGGAGGACTTACTAAGAAAATTTCCTTGAATCCTTTCAGAACCTCCCTCACCACCTTCCTCATTTGGGGAACAAGTTTGAAGATCCTCAACGGTCGCAGGCAGCGCAGCATCATGAGAAGCTGTGCTCCAGACTCAGGGGGGACATCATGGGGCAGCCAGCACAGAAAAATCAAACTCACCTGCATGAGTGAAAATATGTCAGACCTGAATCAAGATTTTATGAAACCTGAATATGTTTTGTGGACTACTCAGAAACAAGCAGAGTACTACCAAAATAAGAGTGGGCAGGTTTTTGGACATTCTTTATCATTAACATTTAAAAGGGATGAGACAAAAATTTAGACACATCTTAACAAATATGATCAAAAACTGGACACTTTAATTATTATATAAATACATCAGAACTATGTTCAGTGAAAAAACTAATATGTATATGATTAAAACATGAATAAAACTATGTAAATTGTATTATTATCATGTATTATTTGGATGCTAACATTGCACAAACATGCACTGTATGGTGTTAAAATGTAACTGAAATGTATTCTGACTTCTATTCACAAACATCGCAGTGTTTTATACCTATTCTCTAAGAGCCATTTCTCTTTCCCAGCTAAGTAACTGGATAACTAACATGCTAGTTAGGGATATTTATCATAGAAAAGATCAAATTACATCTCTTTACCACTTCTTGAAGTTGATGTTTTTCCACTTAAACAGCTGTCTGCACATTTCTGCATTAAACTGGTCCAGTGGTGCTAGCTTGTGCTTTTGTTACCTTGATACACCTACCAATAATAGCATTTTTCTTCTTTAGGCCATCTCATTATCAAATGCTGGTGACATTTGTTTAATAATAAAATACCCAACATATTAATGTTGAGTGTTTCAGCACAACGTCCCTTCATCTCAGAAAAATCTGTTTTCATGTTGCGCTAAAAGTCTGAAGTTAGACTGTAAACAACCCATGAAACGTGACTTTTTTAGCTATTCAACTGGATAAATCCTTTTATACCATTAAAATAGGAAATACCTCATTTACTGATGGAAATAAATGAAAAAAAAAAGATAACTTTTATCGAAAGTTGTCATTTAAAAATATCTTGCCTGTTGAAGATTCTTTTAGTCTGGTTCAAAAAGTGAAACTATAGTTCTATGAGGACCCACCTATTGACAGTAAAAACAACTGATGACAAATGAGAGAGCTGAGGGTCAAAAGTGTACAAAACCACAATTTTATTGTTTGTGTGTGAAAGAAGTGTTGTATAAATGGATTCTATATTTATGCTGTGTTGCATCTCTAACAAAACTAGAATGAAATACTGATTAAAAACATAGATATTACACTTTAGGTATGATTTTATAGTTTTAGATTAATCTGATAGCCTTATGTTTGAAGCTAAAACAGCTTTTATATTCTTACAAGATATATGAAGATGTCCATGACTCCACCAAAGTCTCTGATGACAGCTGTGGGAGTGAAGAACAAACCATCGGCCATGATCTTCAGGTTGAGCTCAATGCTCATGAATATCACAAACACATACTCCCCAATCTGAAACAGACATTGTGATTATAACGACATCTGTGAGCTCGTGAATCCGCCTGCCTGTTCATGTGACTGTAAGTCCATCTGGTTGTAATACCTGCAGAGTGGGGACGTGCATGACCCGGGTGAAGGGTGATTCAAACATCATAGAGATGCAGGAGCAGATGGTCACTACAATCATAACCCAGTCCAGATAGGTGACTAAGCCTAGGAGATCGCTGCAAGGGCACAAATTAATACAAACATATAAGCTGATTTACATATTTATATGATAACAGAATCTAACTCGAACAAAGATTTCAACCTTATTTATGTGCTGAAAATAGCATACATATAATATTATGTTGCAGTTTATTTCAATATGACTTCCATATTGTTGTTAATTGAAAACAAAAACCAATGGAAAAACATGCAATCTCAACACCATGAGGCCTGCAGAGCTCAGATGCAAAACTTATTTTTGTGAATCCAAAGTGTCATAAGTAAGCTGTTTAATTACTTATATTTTCTGAAGGTTTATGCTATTTGACAGTATGTGAATAAGTCTTTTGACTAAGTATATCATAGTATTTGAATTTTTTGAATCTTTAAATTCCATTGCACTGTTATTATTTATATGGCACATACAGTCCTAACTTAATATATAAACAAGCAGTATTTTAGTAAAAATGATCCATTTAAAGATTATGTTCAGACAAATTAAGTTTTAGAAGTGATACAAAATAATGCATATCATATAGGTGCATATGAAGAAAAATAGAATATTGTAAAAATAAAAAAAAATAAAAAAGTATTTTTTTGCCAATCATTTTAGAAAGTGAACCTCATATAGATTCATTACACAGTGTGAAATATTTCAAACCTTTTTATTTCTTGTGATTTTGATGATTACGGCTTATAAATAATGAAAAAACAAAATTCAGTGTCTCAGACAATGAGAATATTACATAACCAGCTTTTGGTATATTTGATAGTGACCTTGATTTATAAATGACATGAAAATTTAATTTCATCTGAAAAGAGGACATTGAACCTCTGAGAGACAGTCCAGTTCTTTGTCTCCTCAGCAGGTAAGACGCTTCTGATGTCTCTAGTTCAGGAGTGGCTGGACTTGAGGAATGAAACATTTGTAGCTCATGTTTGGGAGTTAATCAGCTGATTAGGTTGAGACATCAGGAGTTCACAATACTGAACCTCTTCTCAATATTCTAATTTTCTGAGACAGAGAATTTTGTTTTTTCATCACATGTAAGCCATAATCATCAAAATTACAAGAAATGAAAGTTTGGAATGTTTCACTCTGCGTGTAGTGAATCTATGTAATATACAAGTTTCACATTCTGAAATGACTGACAAAAGGTACATTTTCACAATATTCTTTTTTAGATGCACCTATAAATAGTTCTACTTAATGAAGTAGGGTTAAACAATATCTAATTCAAACGGATTGCTTCCGAGTTGTGTAATCTTTTGCTCTGATAGGCCTAACTTGGGTTTTATAATTTTTCATTCAACCTTTATTTAGTCAGGTAAATCTCATTGAGCCTCGAGGACTCATTTACAAGAGAGACCTGATTTCAACAAAGAATGATGACAACAATGGACAATAGCAACAACAATAAACAGTTATAAAAACTCATACAGAAGTTTTTTTTTTTTTTTTTTT